TTTAGTAGAGACGGGGTTTCACCATGTTGACCAGGATGGTCTCGATCTCTTGACCTCATGATCCACCCGCCTCGGCCTCCGAAAGTGCTGGGATTACAGGCTTGAGCCACCGCACCCGGCCTAAATAACAGTTATTTAAAAACCAAGGAAAAAAAAAAAAAAACGAAATTTATTCTCAAATAATGACAATCTCATAAAGATTGGATTTCCAAAGAGTATGATGTGCTGAAAAAAATGCCTATGGGTTCAGGCTCACGTTGGCTGAATGGAAGCAGGTGGTGTTTGCCGTTCTCATAGAGAGGAATCTAAATGATGAGTAAATACCAGCACGTTAAGCGGATGTTCTAAGAGAGGATGCCGGGGTGCACCAGAGGACCCCAGGGACACAGAAGGCAGATAAGAGACAAGCTGAAAGCCAGGCGAGGCTCCTAACACAAGGAAGGGGTGAGTAAGAGGCTCCCTGAAAAGGAGAAGGGGTGAGAAAGGCCCCCTAACATGGGGAAGGGGTGAGTGAGAGCCGCTGGCATCCACCCCTCTGCTGTGGACTCCTACAATCCTGCTCACAGGAGAGTACCTGCCCCTCTGGGCCTCCAGGGGCACACAGGTTGCTCCCAGAGAGTGTGCTGAGGCCCCACTGGAGCCACATGGAATCCCATAGGCTTTTCATCCCTGAGCAACCCGGCTGCAGCTGCCCCCGCCTTTCCATGGAGTGAGGAGGCCAGGCACTTCCATGGACCTGAGAATAAATATGACAACTGGGGTACAGAAGCAGCCAAGCTGAGCACCCCACAGCTCCCCATCTCTGTTGCTTCCTGCTAAATGGGGCTTGCCATCTGCAGGGCCCCAGTGCACCCATCCTGTCCCCACCAGAACACTGTGGCCTTGGCTATGTGCCCTCTGAAAGCCCAATGCTCAGAGGCTCCTGACAAGCCCTATGTAGTTACTGCCACCTCCGCCCCTGCTGCCCCAGGCTCAGGGAGAGTATGGGGAGACCTGGCACTTCTGCGTGTCCCCAGAGCAAGATCAAGTGCCACTACTTCAGGAGGCAAGTGTGAGCGGGCCCTGTGCCCACACCTGCCAGTCTCCAGTGCCCCAGTCGAGAGGCCCTGCCCTCCCTAGTCACAGGCCCACAGCACAGCTGCCCTTTCCCCCCGTGACATTGCAGCCGCCGAAGCCCCCTTTTGACAGACCAGTCCCCACAGGCCTGTGATCTGCCCCCAGGCTCTACCACCTGAGTGTTCTGCCTGCCCCACCTGAGAGTTCTGCTGGTGACCTGGGGACCGGCCCTTGCCTCCTCATCACAGCCGGCACCTGAGCCCTGGAACAGCTGAATCCCAGTCCAGCCCCTTTACGAATCCCACACGCTCTCTCCAGCTGGTCACCTAGAGGCCTGTGATCCGGGGAACTGCCAGCCGTTTCCCACTCTGCTGGCACCTGACCACTCACCCCAGGGCCTGAGGTCGGGTCCCCCCAGCCAGCAACACCACAACTGACGTCCACTTGTCCAGCCAGAAAGGCAGAAGCCCCACATCCCAGCTACATGAAGCAGCAGTGTGACGACGTCAGACACAGGCAGCCGCTGAGGGGTCTGCACTGCGCTGAGTGAGGAGGTTCTACCTTGGGATGATTCCTGCGGAGAGTGGCAGGCAGGTGTTTCTCACGGCTCTCAGTCACACTGTGGCCTGGGGAAGGACAACAGTGTGTGTCTGAACAGAGACTCATGAGCCCTGGAGCAGGGGTGTGATAGGGAAACAGATAATGTTCCTCCCTATTGAAGAATGGAAGTGGATGTAGGTCCTTCACCCGCCCCCCTCCACCCCCACCCCACAGAGACCTCAGGGCATTTCACCAGGAGTTGCCCCAGCCACACCCATCAGAACTGGTGCCTGCACTCGTCACTGGGGTATTTGTGGGCAAGCCAGGGGTTTCCGCTCTGCCCAGCTGTGTTTCCTCACCCTGTGGAACAGGAAGCTCAGGGCTCCAGACACTCCACGGTCCAGCCCTTCACCTGAAGCAACAGACAGCACCTCACAGGAAGCAGACAGCTCCATACCCACCTGCTGGTGCAGAGGCTGGCTCTTCCCCTTAAGCACCAGCCCCCGGCCTGCAATTTGAACTGCACAGCCCAACACAAACCCTGCTGCAGAAGCACCCAAGACCATGGAGAAAAGCCAAAAGACCCTTCCCAACATGCTCCACAGTCACACTCCCTGCGGGCTGGGGGAAAATGTGCAAAGAAACCCCATCCCAGTGAAAATAAATCCAAAGAGAATGAGTGGCAGCCTCTCCAGATGAGAAGGAATCAGTGTGAGGATTCTGATGTGTGAAAAATCTGAATATTGTGGCACCACCAAAGGGTCACATTCACTCTCTAGCATCAGACCCTGAAAACAATGGAAACTCCAAAAGGACAGAAAAAGAATGAGATTAAGACAAAAACATTACAAAAAGTCAATGGAAGAAAGTTGGTTTTTTGAAAGTATACCCATAATTGACAGATGGCTGACTACACTAACCCAAAAAAAAGGAGACTTAAATGAGCGCAATCAGAAATGATAAAGATGACATTACAGGCCGGGCGCGGTGGCTCAAGCCTGTAATCCCAGCACTGTGGGAGGCCGAGG